CTGTTCAATTTCTTTATCAGCGATTTGGACGATGGGGTGAAAAGCAACCTGTTCAAATTTGCTGATGATACCAAAATTTAGGGTGAGGTGGGCATGTTAGCAGGGAGGGAAAGATTGCAGCAAGACCTTGATAGGTTGCAGGGGTGGGCTAACAAAAACAGGATGCGTTTCAATACGGACAAGTGCAGGGTGCTGCACTTGGGCAGTAGTAACCGGCAACACACTTATAAGATGGGAAACTACCTCCTTGGGAGCACGGAGGCAGAAAGGGATCTTGGAGTCATCATTGACTCCAAGATGAACATGGGTCGACAGTGCGAGGTCACGGTCGGCAGGGCTAACCGGACCCTATCGTGCAGCCACAGGTGCATCTCGAGTAGGGCCAAGGAGGTGATCCTCCCCCTCTATGTGACACTGGTCAGGCCACTGCTGGAATACTGTGTCCAGTTCTGGGCGCCCCACTTCAAGAGGGATGTGGACAACATTGAGAGGGTCCAGAGGAGGGCCACCCGCATGATCCGGGGACAGCAGGGCAGACCCTACAATGAGAGGCTACGGGACCTGAACCTGTTTAGCCTTCACAAGAGAAGGCTGAGGGGGGACCTTGTGATCATCTATAAACTCACTAGGGGGGACCAGAAGGGTTTGGGGGAGACATTGTTTCCCCCAGCGCCCCCTGGGATAACAAGTAATAACGGCCACAAGTTGTTGGAGAGTAGGTTCAGATTAGACATCTGTAGGAACTACTTCACAGTTAGGGCAGCTAGGATCTGGAACCAACTTCCAAGGGAAGTGGTGCTGGCTCTTACTCTGGGGGTCTTTAAGAAGCGGCTCAATGCCTACATGGCTGGGGTCCCTTGAGCCCAGTTTCTCTCCTGCCCAGGCAGGGGGTCAGACTTGAAGATCTACAAGGTCCCTTCCGACCCTACTTCTATGATTCTATGATTCTATGATCCACAGACTGGACTGTGTTAAATGTTGTCTAAACCAAGACTACAGCTTCTTATTCTTATTCCATTACCCGGATTAGCTTTTATAAGCCCTGTAACCCTCGGTGGGTTAACCACTTTGTTTTTCTTTTTCTTATTCACCTTGCCTCTCTGAGCAGTGCTCCCTTCTTTTTTCTTCCACTTCCCTTCCCTTTCATGTATTTTTCTAATCGCTGCTTTCTATTTAGCAGCCCAGCTTTCTGCAGTCCCTTCATAGCATCTGACACAGTAAGCCCTCTGGTTATGAAAGCTTATGCTATACGACTCTAGTTTACTTAAGTCTATACAGGTAAATATCTGTCCTCCTTTCTTATGTCCAGGCACCTTATGAATTTTGTTCCCAGACTCACTTTTTAAAGATGTCTGGTACATTTTTCTTAAGCACGTGGAGTGTGAGGTCAGAAAGGGAGTGGTTGTTCTGTGAAAAACATGGTTGTACTGATGGTTTTGCGTCTGTCCTTTATATTTTTTAGTTAATACTTGTGTACAATTTCTTCTTAGTTTCACACATGTGATTACCAGGAGGGCAGTTGGTGCATTGGATAAGATATATCACATTTTGGGAAAGGCATGTATAGGATCTATGAATTCTCCATGGAGTCTTCTAATTGGTTCCATGGATCTATGGAATCTTCTAATTGGTTCCAGTGTGGGGTGGTAGGTGACCACCAGAAGCATGCAGTCACAGGAAGGGTTTCTTTTTGCATTGTAGTAGGTTATCATGGGGTATTTGGGTGGCTCTTACAAAGAGACAGTCTATTTCTCTACTAGAGTGTCCTTGTAAATAGGCAGATCTTAGCTTAGCTAGGTGGCCATTGTGAGTATTCTCCTAAGAACAGATGTGGTGGTATCTGAGGTCCTGATAGTAGATTACAGCTTTTTGGGTGTGCTTGGGCTGGCTGATTGTGTCTTTTGAAAATATGTATGGTGGTTTATGGGTTTTTGTATATAACAGTAGAGTGCCATCTTGGATTTCGATCATAGTATCTATAAAGTTGACGGTAGTGTAGGAGTATTTTAGGGCAAGTTTGATCGAGGGGTGATAGTTGCAAAACCTGTGGTTGATGTCAGTAAGTGAACCAGGGATGAAAATATCATCTGTGCAGTACAGGTATGGTACAGTCTTCTAGAAATTCCTTATTCAAGTGGGTCATGAACAGATTAGCATATTGAGATTACATCTTTGTGTCCAGAGCTATGTCTGTGGTATGGATGACTGTTGCAAGTGAAGTTATTGTGGGTGAGATCAAAGTGGATTATTTATGCAACATGTTGTTGCAAATCTGTGTGCTCTGCTCCTGTAAGCATTTCAGGTAGGCAGCTGTGCTTTCCTGGTGTGGGATGTTAGTGTACATGCTGGTGACATCTGTTGTGTATGTGGCCTTCTCAGGGAGGGTTGATTTTTTTTTCCCCACATTCTGCTGAAGGAGTCTGCTGTGCCTAATAGAAGTTTGCTCTCTAATTGACATCTGGTTTTAGGATAGTTTATATGAATCCTGATAGCTCTTCAGTGAGGGTACTGCAGTTTGATATGATTAGCCTACCAGGGTTTCCTTGTTTATGATTTTGGGGAGCATATAGAAAGTTCCTAGGGTAGGAGAATTGGGGATTGGTGAAAGTAGCTGTTCCTGAAACTCCTGTGAAAAGGATTTGCTAATATTATAAGTTTCAGGGAGAATACTAGAAGACTTTTGGTTATAAAGAACTCCCCAAGTTCTTTATAGTATTTGGTGTCAGAACATTGTTGGCCCTATTGATGCGGTCTTGATGGTTGAGGATTCACTTTTGTTGGCTGGGTTGATTACTATTTTGTTGTTGGATTTTAGGGACCATATGGA